GTAGTTATATCATCCGTGCAATATTGAAGGATAATTTTTTTTTGTATAAAATTATTAAAAAATTAACATCTAAAAATATTATGTATTTATATAAAGCTATAATTAAGAGTTTTGGGTTTGATTGCAATACCTGATTTAAAAGTAATACTTATAATATTAATAGTAATATTAAACTTATATGATCAAGTTTAAGTGAATTTAGCTGCAATACTAGACCCAATAACTTTAAATATAGATCTTGTTGCATAAAAATATAATAATTAAATAGATTAATTAAAAAGAAAAAAATTTGAATTAATTAGGTTAATTTTTCAAAGCAGGTTAACCAATCAAATCTTGGATTTTTGTCGTAAAAATTTGATAACTAAATAGAAAAAAAAATTCACAAGTTAATCAGAATTAATTGGGTTAACTCGTCAAATCAGGTTAACACGTCAAAGTAGGAATACATGTCATAAAAGTTTGATAATTAAATAGAAAAAAATAAATATTAACAAACTAAATTAAATAAAAAATTTAATTAAAAATAAAAAACAAAAAGTATCAGTTTTTTTACTGTGAATTATACAGTGTGCACAATCAAAAGCATAAAAACAGCAACACAATCAAAAGCATAAAAACAGCAAAATAAGAGGGAAAACAACTAAAGGCACCAGTCTTTAACTAAATAGAAAAAATAAAATATTAATAAACTAGATTAAATAAAAAAATATTAATTAAAAAGAAATAAAAAAACTTATAAGAAGAAAAAAACTAATATAGAAAAAAAATTAAATTAATTAATGTAACTTGTTAAATCTAAGATTCATGTCATGAAAGTCTGACAACTAAATAAAAAACTTAATATCAAAATAATAATTAATTAATTAATTAATTAAAAAAACATCAGCTTTTTTACTGTGGACTATACTGTGTCGTCCATGGAGAAAGGCGTAAAACAAAAAAAAAATCTAAAGACATCATCTTTTTCACTGTGTATTGCATACAATCTTAAAATATAAAATAGAAAGAAAAAAACTAATAAGAAAAAAAAAATATAAATCAATTGGGTTAACCTGTCAAACTTGAGATTTTAAATAGAAAACATTTAATATTAAAAAACTATAAACAAAAAAAACTAAAAGCATAAGTTTTTCCAGTAAAGCAAACATCACAGGTTATTTTTTTTCTTGCATAAAAAATATAAAAAGCAATTGTTAAGATATGAGAGTAATAGGTCTTTCTGTAAAGATATATCCAAAAATCCTGAGTTTAGCTGCTACGCTTAACCCAAGAGTAATATTTATAATAATAATAATAATATTAAATTTATATAACTCAAGTTTAAGGACTCTGGCTGCAACACCAAACCCAAGAAAATTGGATGTGAGTCTGGCTATAAGGTCGTGTCATAAAAGTATGATAATTAAATAAATTAATTAAAAAGAAAAAAATCAATAGGAAGAAAAAAACTAATAAATAAAAAAAAAATTAACTGGGTTAACCTTTCAAACCAGGTTAACCTGTCAAATCAAGAATTTATATCATGAAAATTTGATAATTAAATAGAAAAAAATTGACGGGTTAACTCAGAATTAATTAGGTTAACCCGTCAAACTCAGGATACGTTTCATGAAAGTATAATAATTAAATATAAAAAAAATAACATTAATAAATTAAACTAAACGAAAAAAATTAATTAAAAAAATTCGAGGTTAATTCGTCAAATCACATTAACCCGTCAAATTCGGGATATATTTTATGAAAGTTTGATAACTAAAGAAATAAAAAATTAACATTAAAAAACTAAATTAAACAAAAAATTAATTAAAACAAAAAAACAAAAAAACAAAAAAAAGCATAAAAAATTAAAAACAAAAAAAAAGACAACTCATACTTTTTAGTGTATGTTATCATAATTATAATATAATATAATAATATAATAATAACAATAATAATAGAAAAGGTCTAAAAAGCTAGGAAAAGCTATAATATTTTTCTCATGTTTTTTTATAGTATTGATAAACTTATTATCCATTGTTTGTTAGGTATTATATCTCATTAAAATTTATTATATAAATACTAAATAAAAATTTTATTTTTTAATGTGATATAAAAAATTTATATATAATTTATTTTTTCAAAAATAAATTGTATTTTTTGAATGTAGAATAAAAATACTTTGAAATAGTTAGAAAGATGGGACAGAATGTAAAAGCTAACGAAAACCAATATGATCATCACCTGACTTTCAATAGCTTCTTCAACGGGGATTCTGTCACCGTCCTCTTCCGGAAGTGCCTTCATCTGAGATTCTAAAACATACCCAGGAGGAAGCGCATGCCTGCAGTGGCAGCCTCCTCCCTCACTCGGGCTAACCCAAAACCAACCATATTATTTCCTCTCCACTGCTTCCAGGAAGGATTTTTCCAATTTTCACTGGGACAAAATTATTCCCTTATAACATCTTCATATATCTGGCGATTTCAGTCAATTTAAGGTTGGTTTATTTTTTAAAATTCTATTGAAAATTTGTTTGGTTGTTGATTTAGGGTTTTAGTAAATTATTTGAGATGCGTGTAATCTGTACAATACCCTGTTAAAAAGCAAAGAGAACGAAAAAAGAAAAGAAGAAAAGTAAAGGCTGCATCTCTCTCCTCCATGATCAGCATCTCCACCTCGATCTATTCACCCTCGCACAGATCTCACATAATTGACGAGGAAGGGATGGCAATTCTCCAGGGAGAAGAACAACAAATAACATGATACTGTATACCGTGTCCGCGATATGCTGCGGGTATATGATATGTTCGTGTATTGTTGTAGCTTTATAAAAAAATAAAAAAATTATATGAAAAAATATTGTAATTTATAATTTTTTTAAAAATAAATTATAAAATTAAATTATTAATCAGATTAAAATTTAAAAAAAAAATTTAAAAAAAAATATAAAAAAAATAAAAAAAAACCATGTAAGGAAATGTTATAATAATATATAATATGAGAAAATCTATAATTATAATTCTTAATTAATTCAATATTAAAAATAATAAAATAGATAACAATAACTTTGAAAAAAATCATAACAAAAAAATTAAGTGGGAATATTATAGCAATTTATAGAGTTTTTTAAAAAAATTATGAAATTAAATTATTAACGAGCTCAATATGAAAAACATAAAATTGATAAAAATAATTTAAAAATAAAAAAAATCATAACAATAAAAAATAATATAGTAAACTAATATCATAATTCACAGTGTTTTTTAAAAAATAGCTCTACATTGAAAAAAATAAAATCAATAAAAATAATTTTTAAAAAAAATAAAAAACACATAAAAAAAGTTAAAAATAAATTCTCAATCAGTTTAATATTAAAAATATTAATAAAAATAATTTAAAAAAAATATGAAAAAACATTATAGTAAAACAAAAATCGTATAGAAAAATATTGTAACAATACACGGTATTTAAAAAAAACTACTAAGCAAAATCGACAAAGATTATTTTATAAAATTTAAAAAAAAAACTCTATGTAAAGAAATATTATAATAATCCTTAATATCTTAAAGAAAAAACTACATAATTAAATTTTTAACTAGTTTAATAATAATAAAAATAAAAAAGATAATCTTGTAAAAAAACATGTAAAGCCAAAAAAAAAAGAATAAAACAAAATCATTATAAAACAAAATAAAAAAAATAAAAGAAGTATATGGTGTGGAGAAAACTACAGTATTTTTTCTATAAATTTTAAAATATTAGTTAATTAATACGTGTATGATAATAGCAAAAAATAATGACCAATGATAAAATGGTGAATAACGATGACTTTTAGACAATGATTACTATTATACAATTTTAAATTTATAGATTAAAATAAAATATATTTTTTTTAACTAATTTTTGCAAATACCTGGTGCTTGATTGGTATTGTGTTTTATTAAATATATTTTTAAAGTGAATTTGTATTGAAAAAATATTAAATTAATATTTTTTTATTTTTTTTAATGATTTCAAAGTGCTGATATTAAAAAATTAAAATTTATTTATTAAATAAAAAATACTTTTAAAAAATAATGTGTCATATTAATATCATAAAAATAAAATAAAAAAAATTAAAGTTTATATAAAAGGATGTTATTAACTAAAAATAAATTATACACCTTGTTGGCTTCTATTTGTCTCAATTTGTGCATACATCAACCATTGGCAAAGATCATACTCAAAACTCGAAAGCTTCGGATAACACCTGGAAATAGAACTAGGCTATGCTTTCATTTAATCTTTTTTTCTTTCTTCCGTTTAATCTTTTTTTTTTTTTTTAAAAAAGGTCAAATTGTAAGATGACCTGTCGCTGTTGAATTAACTTAAAAATCCAACGCCCAAGATTCTGCTCTGCAAAAACTAATGGCTTAGGTCTAGCCACATCAACGAAGACGTTATAATTGTAAACACAGGGAGCCTCAAATCAGTCAGCCAAGTATTACTTAAGTCTCAATTGAGCCCCATAAACAAATAATATTATCAAATTAGGTCCCAAATGCTTTAGGTATTTCTCAATTGGATGTTTATCTTGACTTCCATAAGTTTTTCCATTAATTATTAACAAGAGCAAGATCATGGGTTTAAGTAGGTTAAACTACTTTTTTCAAGAAATCAAAATATGTTATTTTATTTTTTTTTAAAAAAATCAGTAATGTTTTTACTACATTAATAAATTTGTAAGTCAATCGGAGTTTTTAATTCAAATATATCAAGTAAACTTCTTTTTTATTTATAATAAAACTCGAATTAAATTATATCTTGAGTTGATTAGAATCCGAGTTACCCTTCAAAGCTTGTCATGGTTTAATAAGCTGTCATAAAATATGCAAACATGATGGAAAATACTAATAGATATACTTGAATCGAATGAGCTCATTTGATAAAATCTTTACTGTAGGACTTAATTGGCAATAAGTGTATACATTAAGGACTAAACAAGAGGTTTCTCCATACAAATACAGCACGCTGTGCCTTTCCACTTCTCATAAAGAGAGCTGCGAAAACCTCAAGCCAAAAACCCTAGCCTCCTGCTTTACCTTCATCCGAGGCAGAGACTCCATCATTGATTGAAAAACCCTAAAACCAAAAATGGTACTTAGTCCCTCTCTCTCATTGTTCACGAAAGAATTCGTTTTGATAAGTAGAAAATATCTCATCTTGTTAAGTTTTGTTTGATTTTGCAGACAGTAGAAACAGTGAATCCAAAAGCATACCCGCTTGCAGATGCGCAGTTGACCATAACAATACTTGACCTTGTTCAGCAAGCTGCTAATTACAAGCAACTCAAGAAAGGAGCCAATGAAGGTTAGCTTTGTCAAAACTAGTAGTTATTTGTATGCCTTTTTGCTAATATAAAATCCGGGGTTTTGATAAAGTCTTGATTTTTCAGCTACCAAGACACTTAACAGAGGTATCTCTGAGTTTGTTGTGATGGCTGCTGATACTGAACCACTTGAGATTCTTCTCCATCTTCCTTTGCTTGCTGAAGACAAGGTTATTTATTTGCTTACTAATACTTTTTGTTGAAGGGTTTTGGTTGTTTCGTTCTTATGTTTGAGTTTTTGTTGTTTTGGATGCAATTTCTGTTGTCTTGTAAATTGGTTTGTTGTGTTTGGAATAGTATTAGAAGAATGTGACTTTAGGGTTTTATGCCATTAAGCTTATTTAATTGGTTTTCTTCTTTTTTTCCCTGGTTATTACTATACATCTTGCTTTGTGACTAATTTAGTTTTGGACGCCTTTTCCTGGTTATGTATTACATTTTCACACATGTGCTTGTCTTTAGTTATAACGTCCTCAATTGTATAATCTGAATAAATGTGACTAAAGATGAATAAATTTCAATGGATTAGATTATGCTTTTGTGACCTTTTTCTAGGCCAAGCTGTTTGCTTTTGAAAATTTATGAAGACTTGATTCTCCCATTCTACTGCAGACATGCAATGCTACCTCTTATTCATTCTGGAAGTGGTGAGTCTCTGTGGGATGATTGACAAATTTAGGTCAGGTAAATCTAGAGTTTGTCACAACCTTTGGTAACAAAGGGTAGACCTAGGACACTGGCGAGGGAACATAAACCCCCTTATACCCCCCTGCAGAAAGGCAAGACCATCATGAGGAGTAGCATCTTGAGTTTTAAGTATAATTGGAAGTAAAGTGAGGAGTAGCACACAACTTAAGTTCTTTGTGAACCCAAGTTCCAAGCTACTTGTAATCCTTCTTAAATACCCCACAATTTTCCCTGAAAGAAGTGCACGCACACAACTTAATTATTTGTCATATGATTGATGGAGAAGCTGACTTCACAGAACTTGGTCCATTGACTTGTGACTGGAGAGGTTGGATTCAGCTAGTTTTTCTTTTTCAATCTTGAAGGAATAATTGAGAATGTTCCCTGGACCACTCTTTATGCCGAGGACATGAGATTGAATCCAGGAGAAGCAAATTTAAATACAGAGCAAGGATGATTTATTATGTTTTGTGCTTGTGCT